ATGTTGAAAGATCTGTTTATATTTTACAAAACAACTAACCAAAGAGTTATGGGATAAGACAAAATATCAATCTGAAAACATCTTTTATATTTTAAATGAGGAAAATAAGCATGCGTTATGAATGTAAATAACAAAATATGCAAGTTTACGGAGTACAACTGTAAATTTATCAAACATTGAAGTCTGTGCTGCTGAGGTCATACTGTGTACAAATGGGTAGGGATTAGGAAGCTAGACTGCCTTGGTTCATCGTGTCTGCTTGTGAAGCATCTCAGGAAAGCACTGGATTTAATCCTAATGATCGTTTTTTAACACAACGTACATGGTCCTTTATTTGTTTTGTCTGCACATTGAAAACAAACTGATCCACCTGAAAATGTTCTATCATATGCGAGTGAATATTTGAAGCATGTCAACTAGCAAAATCCTCTTTGAGCAAAGCGCAAGATCGAATGAAACAAATTAGTGATCGACATACTGAAGTGTGTTCATTTCAATCTGGTGATTAATTTCCTGCTCTGCTGCCTGTGGTTGGTTTATCTTTTCAGGCTAAATTTTCTTGTCCGTATATCACGGCTTGTCAAGCTTCTGATTTTGATTATGTAATTAATACAGAAGATTGTAAAAATAAGACTAGAGTGTGCCATGTGAATACCGCAGAAAGCAGAAACCCTTAAGCAGAAACCCTTCTATGATTCCAAAAACCTTGTAAACACTAAAGTAAATCAAGAGCACCTGGTTGATGCTTGTGTTAAAACCTGTTTTACTTGCAGATTCATCCATCAGTACAGAGTTGTTACCAACTTCAATGTTATTGGGGATCAGGATAAGGTGGATTCTGGAGGTTCAATTCTTGGAGGTTGCCTACGAAATTCTGAAGTTTTACGAATTTTGAACAATTATTTTGTGTCATTTATCACATGCACAGTGTACTGACTTGATTGATTTGATTCATGAGATGAAATGAATGGAATCAACTTTTCTAGTCGGGCTTCTCCTTCACTGCTAGTAAGTAAATAAATTTACATTTAAATTACACAGAACAACCTTAAAGAAATAACATTTATTATAAGGCTCACTATAGAACAAAAATGATTGATTTTATTTTACTTCACATTTTTGCATTTATTAGTAAAAACTTTGTTATGAAAGTTTATATTGAAAACATTGACAGAGATATTTTATGCGTACTTTTACAGTATTGTAAAATACAAGCCTACACAAAAAACCTAGAAAAGGTTTCGCTATTTTGGTGAAAACATTATTTTCTTCACGGCAAGGTTGACATGTGCATGGAATTGATCAAATGATGCATAAATGAAAGACAGCCAGATGATCACACCAGGATTATATTCATATTATTAATTCTACAGTACATGCGATTTTCACGGTATCATTATGCACTATTCCTGTATGTATATTTTATATGGGCTACAACGGCTGTTTTATTAGGTACGTCTTTGATACTTCAGAATTGGAGCTCTTTCGCATTCTGCTTTAACGTACACATGACATTAAATCTAACTGTATTGATTTTGTTAGCTTGTTTTGTTGTAAACAATTCATTTGTGTAAAAAAACAATTGCTTGGCCTTGTAATCTAAAGTTGAAATCTAAAAAAAAAGCACTTCCTGTTTGTTTTCAGTTAATTTTTTACATCTGTCTGAGGTATTGGGTGAAGCTAACTTAACCACAACCCTTTAACTGTCAGTTTTGACTATGCGCTATGATAACAGAAATGGTGAGGAGGAGGTGTCTGTTTCTACTTTACTACATCCAATCAATTCAATTAATTTTTATTTTTATTACACTTTTACAATGTAGATTGTGTCAAAGCAGCTTAACGTAAACATTCTAGTAAACTGAAACTGTGTCAGTCTAGTTTTCAGCATTGAAGTTCAGTTTAGTTCAGTTCAGTGTGGTTTCATTTGCAAGCACAGTCCAAACACAAAAGAGCAAATCAATCCATGTGCACCTCCACAAGTCCCAGCCAAGCAAGCCAGTGGTGAGGAACAAACTTCACCAATTGACGAAAGTGAATAAAAAAAGTGTGCCTGAGCCTCGGACATTATCAGGAAGGAGTTTAGAAGCCATAAATGAGAATGCTCGACCTTTTTTAGTAGACTTTGCGATTCTGAGTTTTGAGATCTTAAAGAGAGGGTTGGATTGTTGCAAAACAGAAGGTTGGTTAGATAAACAGGAGCTAGATTATTTAAAGCAGGGATGTTCAAACTCGATCCTGGAGGGCCGGTGTCCTGCATAGTTTTGTTCCAACTTCTTTCAACACACCTCCCCGGTTTAATAGGTTTCTGATATACCTAGAAGAGGTTGATTAGCTAATTTAGATGTATTTAATTGGGGATGGAACTAAAATATGCAGGACACTGGCCCTCCTGGGCCGGGTTTGGGCATCCCTGATCTAAAGCTTTGTTGGTAAGAAACAATATTTTATAATCCATACAAAACTTAACTGGCAACGAGTGTAAAATTGGAATGATATAGTCATATTTTCTAGACCAGGTAAGAACTCTGGTAGCTGCAATTAAAGTTTATTATTATAAAGTTTATTATAGAGGATGGTGGCCAACCAGTTTCCAGTTGAAAAATCCCAACCACCCCCACACTATTTTCTCATTTAAAGGTGCAGTAGGTGATCTGCCAAAATGCTAACCGGTTAGCATATTATCTTTAAAACATAGTCCCTCCCTGCTGTCCAAAGCCACACCTCCTGAAATCACGAACGCGCACACTGTGACATGACAGATCCAACAGCATGCAGGAATTACACTTAGCAATAAGCCATACTTCCATGCTATTTCAGAGCGAATATTCAGAGTAGCATTATAAACAATATAGGGAGTGCGTCACAGGTTGTCATTGTTCAAAAATGAACCAATTTGAATATAAAACCACCTTCGTGGTAGTTTCACCACGTAAAGCAGGCTAGGCGGAAAAGCGCTATTTACTTGTTGTTGTTAAACTAAATAAAAATCTACATTATCCATGCTGTAAAAGATAACTTATGAAATTGAAAATAGTCACATCAATCTTTCTCCGGAAGATTTCAGTGGCTAAACAAAACTTCAGTGCGTATAACACATTCATTATACAACACAATCTACATCAGCTTTACTTGACTACAGTTGTTTTATAACACAACACACACATGTCTAAAAGAAATCCTTCAGCCACAGTGTCATCCTTCCTCCAGCTTGAAAAAGTAACTCCAATATTGATTCAAGATTGGTCAATCTACGGTAAATCTTTTTTATTTATATTTTTTGCTTTTTTTTAAAGAGGTTTTAAAGGATTTTCTATTGATGATTTTATTGGTGTGAACTGACCTCAACTTAGGTGTTTCAGCGAAGACCAAGCTGTACTGAAAATAGGGCATCAGATGGGTTGGGGATTTTTTTGTTTTGAATATTGAAACATTAGTGAAAAGGGAAATACACTTCCTCTTTAGTTGTATTTTATTAAAATAATTATCTTTACGTCACCCTTGCGAGTAGATGTGACATCTAAAGGATAAAAATAGATGAACATGTGACCTCTAAATGGATTTCCCTCATTACTGCACACAAACACATCTTTCTGTGATTTTGTTTTTCTCAGGAATGAACACAATGAAGAGAAAAATCCCTGTTAAGGCAGATCATTTTAAAGATATGTCAATATTTGTAGTTGTTAGGCTGTGTGATGCTGGAATAGGGGCTCTTTGATTTTTATTTCATGAAAAAAATCTAAATTGTTTGAAATATAATGCAGATCTGGGATGGAAACAATATAATTATGCATTAATACATATATACATGTTGGTGGTCTTTTCTTTCTGAACAATTTAGCATTTTTTTAAATGAACCTGTAAACAAATGAGTTTTAATAATAATATTAATAATAATAATAATATGACAAAAATCTATCTATTTTAAATTATGGAAGTGGCGACGCAGTGGCGCAGTAGGTAGTGCTGTGCGGTACAGGTGAATTGGGTAGGCTAAATTGTCCGTAGTGTATGAGTGTGTGAATGAGTGTTTGTGGATGTTTCCCTGGGATGGGTTGCAGCTGGAAGGGTATCCGCTGCATAAAAACGTGCTGGATAAGTTGACGGTTCATTCCGCTGTGGCAACCCCGGATTAATAAAGGGACTAAGTCGAAAAGAAAACGAATAAACAAATAATTATGGAAGTGTGTTTTTATGAAACAATAATAATTAAAATATATAAAAAAGAAGCGTTAAAGGGATACCATTTCTGCCAAATTATTATTATTATTATTATTATTATTATTATTTGCTATTTTTAGGGACAATTAGCTTTCATTGTATTTCTCAAATTATCCTTAATTATGTTCCAAAATTAATGTATTCAGTTTTTCCAGTACTGCTTTGTTTAATTGATTTGTCATGGGTTTCAATTTTTTTTTATTTCTTAAGCCCATGTTTGTAAAAATAAATTGAGATAAAACTTTTTAAATTCACTTCCACATTAAATTGTATCGGTATAATATTTATTTATTTATTTATTTATTTATTTATTTATTTATTTATTTTAAATCCAAAACATTTTAAACAGTATTTCATGGAACTCAGTGACTATTATGTCTTCCTCTGCCGCCCCCTTGTGGTTCAAAGAAATCGTGATTGTCATTATCCAAAATCAAATGCAACTCAAACGTAAATATAACAAATTAAACAATAAACAAAATAACAATACAAGAGTGTTAAGGAATGTTTAAGAACAATTTGTCAGAAGCACGTTCCATAAACTAATTCAACATGCATGTAAGAAGTTGTACTTGAGACTTATACCCTACTCAGAATTTTTTTTTTTTTTTGTGGTTTTATGCAATTTCCTGGGTTCTGCTACATCTTCACATGCTTGTAGTTTCTAAGTGTGAAAAAAAACTGTCAAATGTTTAAAGAGGGTTGTGTTTAACCTTTGGTGTATTAAGTATTAAATAAGGATGCACTAAACTTGATTTATTTGTTTGTTTGTGCAGGAGGAAGAGGACAAGAGGGTTCTCCCATCATCACCTTCCCAGAGTTCTCAGGTTTTAATGAGGTTTCAGATGAGGATTTTATTAATGTTGTCACTTACCTGACCAGCATACCTAGGTGAATCCTCTTTTATTGCTGTATGGTTTAGAGGTATTTAAAAAAATGTTTTTCAGCATGTAATGTCTGTTTGTGTTGTTCATCTTCAGCATGGATGCTGCTAGTATCGGCTTCATCATCATCTTGGACCGAAGGAAGGATAAATGGAACTCAGCAATCGCTTCTCTGGCACGCATAGCGGTTTGTAGACTTTTGCTTAAGTTTACAACCAGGGCCCCAAACATGACATGCAAAAAAAAAAAAAAAAAACATCATGGGAGCGATTTAGTAATTTGTTTCCTTGCTTTAATAGAGCATGCACATTGAAATTTCCTCTTATTTTAAGTATATTGTGCAAACTTTTTAGCTTGCGACTCCCAAAATAACAATTCCAGTGACTCCCGACCCCGACTATCCTCGTAGGTGGTTATAAACATACAGACACTGCACACAACAGTGCACACACACTAATAGGAACTATATCAATGAGCTTATTAACAACACAAGGAAAGTGCAACAAGTCGAACAACTATATATATATTAAAAATATATTTATAGTCGTTATTCATTTGTTTGATTTAATATTAACCTCACTTAATGATGGGGTGAACACAATGTTTACAGCACAAGACTATTCTTGGTTTAATTTTGAAGACCACTACTTGGAAACTGTCCTCAATGTTCAGTTGTTGCCTTTATTTTTTATATGTAAGTAAGTGCTGTAAAGGTGTCAAAGTTGTGCTGTAAAATCAATCTGCTGCAACCAGCACTATTGCTGTGTTATTAATCTAGTGTAATAACCCCAGGGGTTGCAATACAATTGAAAAAAACTGAATGATTGATGGCTTTTCATTTGCATGTTGTTATTTTATGTAACTATTAAATACTTTATTTATCTTCTGTAGGATATGGAAAAATATGGTAATTCTAATAGTTTAATAACATATATAGTTGTTTTTGAAAATCACAAAGTGACCCCCCCCCCTCCCTTTCCGGATTGTCTTACGTTCCCCCAGGGGGTCCTCACTCCTCACTTTGGGAACCACTGTACTCAATCATGTAGACACAAATGATTAATGATCATTCTCGGTAAATCATTCACACTAAATATTAATTTCCTTTCTTAGGGCTCATTCACACTGATTGTGTCTTCTAAAAATGTGGGAAGCAATGTTTCAAAATGAAAAAGTGAAAAAAAAAAAAGTTCTGTACACAGAAGCACAGAAGAGTTCTGATTGGTCCACTGCTTTGAATCTGACAGTCATGAGTGGCACATGTAAATGTAAAAGTTGTCGTTGTTTTGACACAGCATCTTAAAATGTGGTGCTCATGTGCATGGCGCTTCAAAAGAGGCAAGTGCAAGTCAGACACGTCTGTCAAGAGTGTGTTTTCACTGAAATAGAACAATAGAGAAGTAGCGCATTAGAAAAGAAAAATGAGTTCTGAAATGCGTCCTGTGTGAACAGCCTCTAACAAGTGCTACTGCTTTATTAATCTATCTGCTTGTTAAGTTGTAACACATAAAATACTGTTTCCAGTTCCAAGCCGCTACTCATTTAAATTGAGAGAATATTTATTCATGACCACTTTTTAGTCATTTCACAAATTAAAGTGAATTTCATAAAAAAAAAAACATGATGTACACCACAGTCTCTGGACTTGCTGCATCACAGACACTATTGATTGTGTTGTAAATGTTTATTATTATTAGTTTGATATAGCGCTTGGACCCGGAAGCCGCTTCACGCGACGTCCCACTTAACAAGCGGATTTCATTCATTATTCATTCACATATCTACATCATTTATGTTCCTGTCTTGATATGATGATGGACAAGTTATTTTTTTACAAGACAGAAACCTTAATACTATTGCGATTTTGATTGCTATTACATATTAAGATATTAAAAAGTAGTGTATTCGGACAGGAAGTAAAACTTAGGGCGTACTCACACCATGCTATCCAAACCGTCCCCAGGCCTGTTTCCCAGATCGTTTGAGAAGTGTGAGTTCTCTGAATCGGGCTTAGGCACGGTTCACTTGTCCGGCCCTTGCCTGGATGGAAGAAGTGTGCCTGAGCATGGTACGCTTGTACACAACACACACAAAAAGTGAAATGAATGAGGCGGCATGTGGCATGTAATTGCTGCCTACAACTTTTATTTTTGAGTGTTGTTAAATGTATTTGACGGTAATTTTTAATCTTTACCATAAACATCAGTGGTTTTATCTAAACTATAAACTGTGCTTTCAGTACTTCTGTGTTATTTGACTGTTTTTAAACTAAAGATTCAATTTCTTTCTTGATTTTTGCGTTTTTCAACACAGATTTGAATTTGATTTGAAGAATTAATAAAGATACAAATCACATTCATTTATAATTTATGTTGCGTGGTTGTGGATGATTAATCATGCAGCTCACACTGAAAGCATTGATGCAGGCTAAACAAGTAGTGACAGGAATCACCTTTAATGAAACCCATCACATCCCGAATAACCCACCACATCTTCTTCCGTCATCATTTTATGTTACAGAAAAGCCTAAACGATTCATAGATGTGGTTTAAATGACACGAGAGGCGATCACTTTGTGATCGTTACAAATTTAGGATTAATCTACCAGTAGAAAAAATATATTAATCCGCATCAACCGGGATCCGTTACAGCTATATCGCCCCTCAGGGTCACTTTTGAGATAGCCGTCAAATCAGTGGAGGAGGGGTGGGACAGTACCACGCAACCACCATCACTACCACCACAACAACGTGTAAGGGCATCTGACTAAAAAAAAATAAAATAAAAAAACTCTCACAGGTAAAAACTCTCAGAATTACATTCTCCCATAAACACGCAGCCTAAAACTGAATCTTGGTTGAAAAAGTAGAAGCTTTCCAAAACAACACCATTCTTATATCATTACACACACACACACACACACACAAAAACAAGAGTCTGTAAAAATTATGACACGTGTGTGCATTGTGTGTGGTTAGTGCGAACAAGGGGGAAGTTGGTGGGGAAGGGGGGCATTGCCAGGAAGACAGTTCAGCTTCCTGTCATCATGGAGCATGAAGTTATTCTTTAACTTGGTGGTCCTGACTCAGCCACTGGTGGCAGAAGACTGGTGACGGGTGGGTGGTGGGGTCACTCATAATGCAGAGGAATTTGTGGGTGAAAAGAGCAGTGAAATGCTTGTATGGATGTGAGAGAGACCCCAGTTATCTTCTCAGCTAGTTTCACTATGCATTGGTGTGTGTTGCTGTGAATTAGTACAGGTGACAAACCACACAGTGATGCAGACAGTCAGAATGTTCTCGATAGTGAATCTTTAGACGGTGCCAATTGATTTCGGTGAACAAAAACTGAAACTAAGAATGATACATCTCTTGGTAATATTTCTTTAAGACTGATACTATTTCTTTAACTGACATGAAATTGTGAAAAATCACAATAAACTAAAAACTAGTCAGAGTCACTGAAAAACTGAAAAACTGGGATAAAAAAAAAAATGAATGTAAAATAGTGCAAAACTGACCTACGAATGTGAAAGACCTGTAAATGTGCTTTTACAGAATTTATTATCAGGGTTCATACGGTCATGGCAAACATGGCATTTTCCAGGCCTGGAAAAGTTTTGGAAAAACAGAAAAACCCACAAAGTTTTGGAAAATTCATGTAAATTAGTTTAACAAAAATCTGTATACTTGAAATAGGCCCGCGCAATATTACAAAAATCTGACAAACCGATATTTTGTATTTCTGTGATACAGTTAAAGTCAGAATTATTAGCCCCCCTGAATTATTAGCACCCCTATTTATTTTTCCCCAATTTCTGTTTAATGGAGGGAAGATTGTTTCAGCACATTTCTAAGCATAATAGTTTTAAAAACTTATTTGTATTAACTGATTTATTTTCTCTTTGTCATGATGACAGTAAATAATATTTTACTTGATATTTTTCAAGATACTTCTATACAGCTTAAAGTGACATTTAAAGGCTTTACTAGGTTAATAAGGTGGACAAGGCAGGTTAGGGTAATTAGGCAAGTTCTTGTATAACGAAGGGTTGTTTTGAAGATTATGGAAAAAAAAAATAGCTTAAATGGGCTAATAATTTTGTCCCAAAAATGGGTTTTAAAAAGTTAAAAACTGGTTTTATTCTAGCCGAAATAAAACAATTAAGACTTTTTGCAGAAGAAAAAATATTATCAGACATACTGTGAAAATTTCCTTGCTCTGTTCAAAATCATTTGGGAAATATTTAAAAGAGAGAAAAAACAATTAAAAGGTGGCCAAAAATCCTGACTTCAACTGTATATTGCGATGTGAATCCAATTTCAGCAGATGATTTAACAGGTTTCTTTGGATTGATTGAGGGGGATTTTGGAGAGGAGTGAATCTCAAAGAACATATAACTAATAAATTACAAGCATAGGTAAATAAAATATGGTAAAGACAAAAGTGAATTCTAGTTTTTAAGTATTCAGTATTCAGGTACGGCTATTGAACAATCCCTGCATAGTCTTCATTGTATATATCTTTATTAAAGTTACAAAAAATTCTTATGGCTGGATGTTTTAAAATTTGAAATATTGAAATGTTCACACAGTCACAGGCCCTAAAGGGACAGTTTACTCAAAGGTTAAAATGTACTCAATTATTACTCACACTTCACTTGTTTCAATACTATAGGGCAGGGGTAGGGAACCTAAGGCTCGGGAGCCAAATGTGGCTCTATAACCAAAAATATGTGGCTCTCCAGCTGTCTTTCTTCAAAAACATTTCAGATTTTTTTAAAATAGAACTGTTACTAGAAATCAATTTCCTATTGAAAATAAAATTACAATTCCCTTTATATTGTATTGTCTTCAGCAAAATGAATAAGAACTCGATTTGCAATAAAAGGACAATTCAACTAATGCGCATATGTAGTGCTGTGGTTTAACTTGAATCGCGACAATACGGGGCAAGTTATATTTCTATGGTACATTTCTATGGTTTTTTACATTTCTATTGTAACCTTTCGCACGTAAATTCAAACATTTATGAGTGGCGATGGCAAAAAAATAAATAAATTTGTTGTCCTTTCTTTATACGTTATGATGCGTCATATTTGTTTATTTTTGAGTTGTGCATGGACATAATGTCTTTGTTTATAAATAAATAAAGAGTTTGTTACTGTATATACACACACCCTATTTAGGTCTTTGAAAAATGCATTTGATAAAAATAAATTTAAATGGCTCTTTGCTGAAAAAAGTTTCCTGACCCCTTCTAGGAGTTATTAAATTATATTATTTTTGTGTTCATTAAAAAAAAAAAAAAAAAAGAAAACTCTTAAAAGAGTGTAATGAAATTGTGAGTCATTTTTGGGCAAACTATCTCTTAAAAAAAAAAAACATGCAGATGATAAACTTTTACTCCATTATGATTAAATTCTATATTAAACTGTAATCCAAACATTGCATAACCTGCGATGTAATTATTGCAGACGCACACATTGCGATATCGATGCTGTAACGATATATTGTGCAGCCCTAACTTGAATATAGGTTTTATCCTCACATTGTTAGTGCTGTGTAAGCATTATCAGAATCAATTTTACATTGATATAAAAACAAATGTAAACAAAATAGATTGTTGCGTGTTCTACGATATGCTATAACAATTTTGAACGTCATTGTTTTTCTTATTTTATACCATGAATATGTAGACATTACATGAAACATTATGTTATGAAAATGTACTTGAAAGTCTCGGAAAAGTCATGGAATTTTAGTAGTAAAAATGTGTATGATCCGTGTATTATTATTCTTAATTGGCTAAAAAGTAAACTAGTGTTTTAATTTGCAATTTAATTTAATTTAATTTAATTTAATTTAAGTTAATTTAAAAGTTGCATTTAAATGTTTTTACGTTCAGGGTTTGTACAAACTATTTGATTACTTTTAAAGGGGACATATTATGCCCCTTTTTACAGCATTGCAAAATAAGTCTCGGTTGTTCCTAAAGTGTGTGAAGTTTCCACTCAAAATACCACACAAATAAAGTTTTATAACTCTTATAATTCCGTCTTTTAGGCTATGATCCAAATTGTGCCATTTTTTTTATGACTGTCACTTTAAATTCAAATGAGACTGTGCTCTTTTAAAAGAAAGCAGAGCTACAAATGTGCACATAGTGGCAGTTTTTAAAATAGGCTTAATGTTATTTCTATGAAAAACTGAAAATGTAAAAAGAAGTGTCTCAGAAGGCAGCAATCTATGGAGATTACAGTGTTCATTTGTGCATCCTAAAACTCCACATTTAGTATCATCTTATTTGTTGACATTATCTTTAGCAGAAAACTCTAATAGCGAACAGCTGCTTCTAACTTAGGGATATTTATTCTAATGAAGGAGAGATTGTCACTAAAGGGCAGGACTTTCCCCATGTGATGAGACGTACAAAAGGTGTGCAACCAGGGATAGTGACAACAGGGGTGAGGATCCAAATGCAGGGCAAGGCAAGCAAGCAATGATCAACACAGGAGCAAACAGATGAATGAGGGCAATGCAGCATCGCAGTCGAACTATGCTGAGAGCTCAAACCTTTTATAAGAGTGATTTTTGCATAATAGTTCCCTTTTAATACTAAGAGGTTTGCACAAGCTGTAAATGAGTTAATGAAATCTTTACTCTGGTTCACACCACACATGTGTTCAGTTATCTTTGTTAAACAAGTAAAACTGAAACATAAATAAGTAAAACCTAAATAGAAATATTAACAAAATATAAACTAAAATAGCAAACCTATTAATGAAATAATCAAACAACTAAACTGACATGTATAATACATTTTGTACAGTACAAAAAATAGTACTGAAATAAAATGTATTTTTAAAAATACAAAACTTTAATATCTTTGGAAGGTGCACGTGTGTGTGTGTGTGTGTGTGTTTTTAAACATGTGCTTCTTGTTTACCTGCACAATATTAATCTGATGTTTACAGAAATACAGTTCAGATCAAAAAGAACAAGATGTACAATAGATAAACCTGACATTTGAAATCAAGAAGTACAAGCTATCATTTCTTGTCAGAACAATTATTTCTTTATACTTCAAATACTATAGCAACATTACTATTATTACAAAAAATATTATAACAAAGTAAATTATTAACATAAACATTAATTAAATAATTCATACAAATAATTTAATTTAATTTTATTTTATTTTATTTTATTATTTATTTATTTGTTTTATTTTATTTCATTTTATTTTTATTTTTTTATAGATCTTATGCACTTTTTGAAAACTTAATGGCTGATTTTTTTTGTATTATTATTATTATTATTAATACTACTACTACTACTACTACTACTACTACTACTAATAATAATAATAATAATAATAATAACAACAACAACAACAATGGGTAGGAAGTTGTATTTAAAAGTTTTATCTTAGCTTTAAGTTGTAAATTTTTTACAAACATATAATTTCTTTAGTCTGTTTTAGTCATTTTAAATATTAAGTGTGTAAATAATAATGTGCATATGCGTGTATATGCAGTATATCAATATGTGTGTGTATACATATATAGTTGAAGTCAGAATTATAAGCCCCCCTGTTTACTTTTTTCCCAATTATTGTTCAACAGAGAGATTTTTTTTCAACACATTTTCAAACATATTTGTTTTAATAACTAACAAGTTTCTAAAAGCTGATTCACTTTATATTTGCCATGATGACAGTAAATAACATTTTACTAGATATTTTTTAGGACATAGTTACAGAAAATCATTATAATTGAATTGAACACATCAAGCATTTTTCTTACATACAGTAGGCACATTTCTAACCCTAACCCCAAACCCTAACCTGTATATCATTTTCTTTCCTTATCTAAAGGGCTCCTTTCCAGGAAACCTACAGCTAGTTCTAGTTCTGAAACCTTCGCGCTTCCTCCAGAGGGCCATCGCTGACGTCAGTATGAGGTTACACAGAGATGACTTCAAATTGAAGGTACCGGTAAGCATGTCTCTGTGTGTCTGGACCCCTTCGGCACGTCCATTGTCTGGCAACTGACACGCACGACTCGTCTGGAGTGTTTGTAACCATGATCGCACACCCCATACATTATTGATGTCACCCTATTGTATTATGCATGTCTGAAAGGTTGCAGATTATCTCACACCCTGTTTTAACACCACCGTAAAGACAAAAAAAAAAATAGTGAGGTTTTAAGAACTTTCTGCAGTGGTTAATATCATTGCTTGTGGATCAATGATGTGTGTGAAACTGCAGCTGTGTTAGTGGAGCTCTCTCAGACGTATTCATGAAAGATTTGTAAGATTATCAGATGTGCGTATTGTTTCAGTTATGACTATGAGGAAAAGTTTGTGCCATGGTGTACGATCTTGTTCTTCATTTGTCTACATGTGTTTTGCAGATTATTGCAGTTTGATGGTTAGTCATCTGCATGAATGTTCTGGATTAGTGTCATTACTGTTTTTTTTGTCAAAAGAAGCAAACGTCTGGGTTACAGTGAGGCATTCTCAGTTAAAATGATCAGATTTTCTGTGGTACAAGATGTCAATAAATTTTAAGAGTTTCCTTTTTGGGTGTAAAGTTTTTTTTTATTAATTTCAGAGCTTTGGTATTACGTCAAAACATTGAAGTAGCATTAAAGAAAACACACATGCACGTCATGATCATGTTAAAATCAAATATAAAATGTACACAGAACTAGGATCGGGCATTGTTTATTATTTTATTTTTTACAATACTAAAATAAGATGTTTGCTTGAACCAAAATCAACCATAAAACAGTGTTGAAGGACAAATCTTGTAATTTAACCAGTTAAACTCCGGGTCCGTGACATCATCAACTTTCACTTTAAGATTTAAAGGGCTAGCATTGCACCAGACCCCCTTAAGTGGTTTCGTTTGAAAGTGTAGAATCTATATTTTATGCACATGTGCATCACTTTGGTTTTTATTTTACTGTACAAAAGTTATTTACACTTAAATACACAGTATTTTGGATACCCGAGCTGGGTATTGAACATTAGTTCATTTTCATATTTTTCAAATGGTTCATATATGACACATGTACAAGTTATAGCTCAAATGAAAGCTCCGTGGTGCTCATAAGGTTCTAGCATACTTTTTACTGAATTATATTCACATATCAAACAGTTGTCGAATGAATTGTGGTGTTTCCATGGTGCAGAAGTGAAAACAATACATTTATGATTACTAAGCAGCCCCAGATAGCACAGACAGCTGTCATCTCTTACTGTACCTTATGCTGTGCGCTTCAGGGCCATTTTTCCTCTGTTTTTGAGGTGATGTGCATAAGTAATCCTTTTATATGTTTGCTGTGGTCCAAACACAGTGAATTATGTTTGATCAAACAAAAGAATAGTGAAATATGAAAACAATGATCCCTCCCTGTGGCTTGTATAACACCTCTCATCAGTTGGAATACAATAACTTTTGCATAGATTATGGTAGAGACATTTTTCTTTTTTCCTATGATTACAGACATGTGCAAGAACCTCCAAAATTAATTACAGCAACCTAGACCACACAGAACCTAAAAGGTACACTTTCAAATTTGAGTTTATAAAAAAAAAATTACAAAAAGCCCCAAAGGGTTTTCTATAAAATTATACCAAATTTTTGGCATTTACACCTCTGCGAGGGGATTTGGGAAGCTTTTAAATTTGGTAGGCAAAATCCAGTCAGAAATCCCAAAATAGCAGCAGAGTTTAGGAGGTTAATAATAAAAATAATAATAATAATAATAATAATAATAATAAGTCAAATACGTCTTTAGATTTAGTACTAGGTTGCAGCTGGAAGGGCATCCACTGCGTAAAACATATGCCGGAATAGTTGGTGGTTCAATTCGCTGTGGTGACCTCTGATGAACCAGAGACGTAAGCCTGATTTATACTTCTGCGTCAGGTGACCGGCGTAACCCACGGCGCATGCAACGCGCGTGGCTGTGCATTTATACTTCTGCGCTCTGTCTCTGTTGGTCTGCATTAACACTTCCGAAACGCTAGTTGGCAGTGAGGTGTAAATGTTCCTCTGTGTCGAGTTTCTTCGCTGCTTTTTTGCTTTTCCTGAACACTTCCAGGATGTACAAGTGGCTCAAACTCGCTTATTTTGAGGCAGGAACCAGCGGACGTGCAACAACTTTAACTATGAGGTAAACACAAAACAAAACTTTCCATCAGGAGCTCCTTCGCGGTACTCCACACTTGTAAACAATCGCTCGCGCCATTCGTGCGGCTCTCGGTCCCGCCCCGACTCATCAGCGCTACCAAGCCGACCAATCAAAGAGCTTACGCTACTCGTCGTTGCGACGTGTAGTTAAATTTTTTGAGAGGTGCTTGTCAGTGACGGCGATGGCCACGACAAAGGGCTATGCGTCAGCGCCGTAGCATACGCCGGTGTTTGACGCAGAAGTATAAATCAGCCTTAAGCTGAAGGAAATTGTATGAATGAAGTCTTTAAATCAGGAGTCACCAATCTCTGTCCTGGAGGTGCCGATGCCCCTGCAGAGTTTAGCTCTAACTTGCCTCAACACACCTGCCTGGGTGTTTCAAGTATACCTAGTAAGACCTTGATTAGCTTGTACAGGTGTGTTTAATTAGGGTTGGAGCTAAAATCTGCAGGACACGGGCCCTCCAGGAACAAGTTTGGTGACCTCTGCTTTAGATTGATCAATTTATTTAATAAAAAAAATGTTTATTTGATTTAAATTTACAAAATTAATTCACTGTATATCCTAAACCACTTAACCTAATTACTGTACAGTAATGTAACACGAAAACAATAGCTAATGCACCAGTTACAGCAAAGTAGTCTGTATTTTTGGTCCACTGCAAACCAGCTTCAAATGTCTCTTTTGTATAAATATGAACAGAATTATTTTCCTATTCCGAGGAAATAAATAAAAACTCTCCGGGCTTATGGAGACACAATACATAACATTCATTTTCTTTTCGGTTTACTCCCTTTATTAATCTGGGGTCACCACAGCAGAATGAACCGCCAACTTATCCAGCACATGTTTTTCGCAGGGGATGCCCTTCCAGCTGCAACCCATCACTGGGAAACATCCATACACACTCATTCACACACATAGACTATGACCAATTTAGCTTAGCTTTCTTAATTCACCAATTCAAAATGCCTCAAAGTAACCTTCATCTTTGCTTAAAAAAAAAAAAAAAAAAAAGTTGTTTAAACAACAAAGGATGAGTCAAACCAACCACAAACGATCAAAGCTTTATTTAAAGCTGGAATGTTCTTACAATTGTCCTTCATACGTATTTTCATCATATATGTCTTGTAAAATGTTTGCATGCCTATTTTATCCCATGTTATGAAAGTTATGTTTCAGAATCATACACTTCGGTTTTAAATTAGGATCAAAATAACATATGGTGGGATAAAAATGTAGGATATTAAGGCATAATACTTCTTTTTGTTCTTTCTTTTTTTCTTGTAGATTGTTATGCTAAATTCCCTGTCTGACTTGCATGGCTACATTGATAAAGGCCAGTTGACCTGTGACCTTGGGGGAACCCTGGATTATTGCCACAGTCAATGGATTCATCATCGCACAGTGAGATTTTTTTTATTTTTTTTCCATTAAACAAAATTTCATGTGTTTCAGTGACATAACAACTATTTTTTTTAGGGAGATTTTAATTTATTCTATAAATAACTGCATCATTAATATTGTGTGGAGCACACTAAGAAGTTAATCCTTAAAATAACAAAGTATTGTAGAAGTACTGTAATTTACTAACCCAGACAATCTTTTGCATGCTTAAAACTACTAAAAATATAAATAGAATTAACATGAAAAGTTGTCGGACCAAATATTGAGCACCCAAAACGCATTTAGTAAGTGTAATTAAATGATAAATACACCAACGAACAACTAGCTATGAACAAGTTACTGTAACATTGTAGAGTAAATGGGTAAATCATTAAATTACTGAATCTTCTTTATTTTATTTTTATTTTTTTATTTTTTGATTAGTATCATAAATAAAAATTGTCATGCTTTTATGAGCATGGGGTAGTAAGTGTGTGAGTTTGTGTGTGAGAATTAGTTTAAATGTTTACTTTAAAATTAAGTTTCGAGAATTCATTTGTTTTTGATCCTTTACTGTAGATAATTCTTAGTTAGGTCACGTTAAAAATTATTATTTAAAAAAAGTCTAAAACTCTCTGCATTGTGATGACAATTGTTTAGTCACCCATTTTTTATTTTAAGATATTATTATACTCTTTTAAAAATACATTTCTTATAAATATAATAATTTCAATCAAAACATATAAAAGTAAGTTTTACACACACACAACCACACTTATTACGCTTATTTTAAATTGCAAATTTTTTGCAACCTCATTTAATCTTATAAATCCAAAGTAAAAGAAAAACAAACTTTTGTGCATAAAGACAGTTATCACCATTTATATGACTGGTATCTTGTTAATCTTAAAATATAATTTTGTAGGCAATGATTATAGATTTTGATTGTATGATTATAGTCGATAAAGGAATTATCACGGTTGCACGGTTATCACGATTGTTATGCATTCATTAATTTCAAAACGCTGTTTAGAAAATCACAAAAAATGTCCTTCTTTTTGAAAGTGTTATTTATTGCTGCTCAGTAACTAAGCAATACAGCTCAAAATAATATTTAAAACTAACATTAGTATATTTCTCTTTGAACTTAAAAATAAGGTAAAAAATATTTTGCCATTTAAGCATAATACTTTTACACTAAATAAATAAATAAATAAATAAATAAAAAACAATAAATTAAAATATTTTTTGTCTAATATACATCTAAGCATCATAATAGCTGAACATTTCCCTTTTAAAGAGAACAAATAAAGTCAAAGACTGCTGAACCTCTGTCTGAACGGCACTTTTGATCAACTATATTATAAACTTGTGTGGTATTTTCATTTTTTATTTATTTTTTCTTTGGAGTAGAAATGTGTATATTCCATACAAAGTATGAAGCTAACCGCTCAGTTCTTTTAACATGACTTGCGGTGCGGTATGGCATTTTTTCAACTAGGTGTGTCTGGAAAGTGTGAGGGTGTTATTTTGCACCTACGTCATTCTCAATATGTGCACAAGAAAAAAAAAAACAAACTTGCAAAAGACACAACATGTAAAAAGGTACGCTTTTAATATTAACTTTAGCCTTAGCTATTAACTAATTTATTTAATAGCCTTAGGCATAGTTAATCCAGTTTGCGTGGGCGTTAGCCTCTGTATACAAGCTTGGGACATTAAACTAGCGCACAGTTGGAACAACTTTGTTTAGTTCTAGCAGTTTTGCTCCGTGCGGAAACAACTTGTTGAGAAGCTTTTATGATTAATTAACCATGACGAATTAAAGTGTGGTTAATAAGGAAATCAGTTAATCGTTGCATCCCTAAATCTATGTTGTATTTCTTTTTGTTTTTGCAAGATGCACACCAAAAAATTTATTTTGCTGGTTGTTCAAACTACATAGAGATAATGAGTTGAAGCAACACATTTATAATTTGAGACAGCTTTGTTGTTTTATGTTCAATCTACTTAAATTTGTAACAAAAAGATTCAGTTCACTAAACTGATTTGTGTTTGGACAACATGAAGGAATTGTTTGGAACCCAGCAGTTTTTTTTACAGTGTGTGAATTGTCTAATTTCTTGCCTTGTAGTTTGGACATATGTACCCTTATTTATTGTTTGATGTATTGAGGTGTGTGAAACTGTTTTTCTCTAGGCCATTGAGAACTTTGCGCTGACAGTGAAGAGCACAGCACAGATGCTGCAGCAGTTCGGAACAGACCTGGCAGAGACTGAACTTCCCAATGACGTGCAGTGCACCAAAGATTTGCTCATCACACACACTGAAAAACACGATAAGCTCAAGGTAGAGCATCACGTTTTAGAAACCAGAGTTTAATGTTGTCATATGATTTGTTTAATCTGTTATTATAATTCTGCCCTTCATTGTATTGCCTATGTCAGTAACCTTAGTAACCTTAAAAGCATTTTCTCACATAGTGGAGCCACGGAAAACTGTGCTTACCTTGATTCACTTTCATGCCTGTGTTTTGCATTTATACAAATTCATCCTGTATCTATATGCCATATATATATATATATATATATATATATATATATATATATATATATAATTATTATTATTATTATTATTTATTTATTTTTTTTCTTAACAGGATGAACTAAAATTGGCTGTAAAACAAGGGAATACTCTGCTGTCCTGTATTAAAGACCAGGCCACCAAAGCCGAGAGCCACATTTTGAACCCAGACGAGGTTGAGAACCAAACAACCGTTGAGAGGTGTGCATCACATTTACTACGATGCCAATGATTATAACTGAAGCAGAATTATCTTTAACACATTTAAAAGCTTCTTTGTGACATATGCATTTTGTAGACTAAAACAAAGTGTCCAATTTTAACTATCAGGTATGCATATCTTGGTCAGTTAAAACAAAAGTCACAGAACAAGTCACATTCTGATCGAAGATTATGAGGATTTTGTTTTAAACCGAATCATTCACGTTGACTAAATTCATTAAAGGGTTAGTTCACCCTCCAAAAACAAGTTCTGTTATTAATTTCTATTACAACCTCTGGATAATTCAGGGTTGCACACTCGGACTGAGGATTTATTTAAAACAGAAACTCAAAGGAAAATTGTGCTCCAAAGAAGGGACGGACAGCGATACAATAATAGTGATTTATTTATAGGTGCTGATGGTGAAACAGTTATTTATAGTATATATATATATATATATATATATATATATATATATATATATATATATATATATATATATATATATATATATATATATATATATATATATATAGTTATTTACATTATTTAGAATTTTAGAAACAATAAACTTTTTTCTTTAATAAGATTTTTTTTTTAGAAAAACTGGCTATGTGTAGTGTTAAACAAATAACCAATTAAAACCAAAACAGTCTTTCTATTATTCAAAAATAGTGCCCTCTAATCTAGTAAACAAAATATATGAAAAATAAATCTTTCACATCAGTGACGTCCTACATAGTCTACACTAACTAATAGGGATGCCACAGTTCTCAATATAATATTGAACCGTTCGGTACGACCTCCGCGGGTCAATACGCGATTGTGAATTGCGGTTTTCTTGGTTTTGTGTTTAAATAATTTATGTGCGTTTTATGTCTCCACGAATTGACTGTGCGTGCCTGTAAGTCCATGAGCTGAGATGAGGAAACTCCTCCCCGCGAGTAAATATCCAATCACTCTGCTCTAAAGTTAAGGGGCGCTTGACCATCATTCCACACTTTAACATGGCGAGCGGCGGTGAAGTGAGGCTGAGGCAACAGTTCAAGGAAGCGCCGGCGAAGTAAGGCAACATTATGAGAAAGCGCCGTCATCTTTTAAATCTGCGGTGTGAGGACATTTAGATTTTGCCAATAAAGTATAATGCCAATAAAGAAATAAAAAAAAAACGGTGAACAAAAAAATAACTGTATGCAAGCACTGTTTTACACGTATAACCATGACTGCACATCTGCAGCGCCATCACCCAGCAATATCACTGTCTAAAGGCAGGATAGCAGAATGACTTCACATGTGGAGTTTGACTATACTGTCGATTTTTGGACTTAGTAAACACCTTTTAGATTCTCACTAATAGCCAAGACATCTGTATTTGCATGTCTTATAGATGTCTTTTAAGTGCATGGGCATTTACAGCAGCTGCTGTGTTTAATCATCTATAAGGCACTCATTGAAATACTCATTTGAAAAACTCTTGAGTGTTACTGGAGGCTAATACAAGACGTTTATTAAACTTTTTTAAAGCTTAAAAAACATTTGATAAAATTGTCAGTATTGTCAATAAATGTCAATGAAGCCCCCATAAATGTTTCCTCATCTGATAAAGGACTAAGACAGTTAACATGGTGGAAATGTGGATGAGATCAACTCATTTGAATCCACCTTTTGATTTTCTCATCAGATCAGAAAGGCATTTATTTTGATTTAAAATCAACCAAATCCTAATGGGTTTTTAATAAGAAGGTGTTTACAGTGAGGGCTTTATTGTCCCCAAAATGCTGCACCCATTTAATAAATATTTTTTTATACTTCTGATTTATTAAGGAACATTTTTGTGATAAAATTCAAGTTGATTGGTCAGTCTACCAGCAGTTTGAGAGCTAAAACTGTTGTGACCCATGAAGTTTGAAATGGCATTCAGTTTCTTGCGGAGAGCAGTTCTTTCGCTTTCAATATATCGTCAGAATATATATACGTAATTTTGAATCATATCCCTATAGCAGCACTTACACTTTATTAATAAACAAGGGCCACAATTTCAGATATAAACGTTCTGTAGAAAAACAACCACCTACATATTGAATGCTCTTAAAGTAAGAAATTAACACTGTATATAAACAGAATTAGACTGCAGTCATTCTGACTATTCATATGACTAAATAGATTTTTTTGTTGTTGTCGTATTTACATTTAAATCTTTATTTGAGATTTTAGAAAATCTTTTTATTCATTTTATGAAGTCATTAGCCTAGAAATATATTGTTTTGTAATATTGCCTACAATTGCGTATAAGTTATTAGACCTCACTCTGTCTAATAAGCGGGAGAGCAGTTTTTTTTACTGCAGTAAAAGAAAGAAATGTCTGAAATACATTGATTTCGGTATCAGAAAGTTATGTTATTGTTTGCAGACATTTTCTAGGCAAATATACAGGAAAAGTAGATGACATTGATGCGGTCAATTTGACCATTATGGTCATTCAAGATTGAAACACTCTCGTGTTTTTGAATTTTAATAAAATGACTGTTCTAATGAATTATACACACATTTATGTAAAGTCAGAGTATTGTAGCTAAATTGCTAAATTAAAAAGTGGTCATATTGACTACCTCTGTAGTTCCAGTTCTTCTGTTTTTTTTTTTGTTTTTTTTACTCTTTCATCAGCTGGAGAAAATAAATAGTTTACGATTAGTTTACTACTATACTAATACTTTCATCTGCAACATTATTGTCACAGCTGTGGTGTGAACAGTGAACAATTCTTACATTTAGAATCATTTTTTTTAAAACTACATCTTTATCATGATAGGCGTAAAAAAAACATTCCCAACATGACCAAAAAAAACAATTTTTTTAGGTTAGTTAGGCATGTGTTGTTATTGCAGTGCTGTTGTTGATATCTAAAGCTCAGTGTCACCTCACTTCTGTGAAATCTATCTCACGCAAGCCTGTTTGGCACAGACACATGCCTAACAAACAGATAACAGATTATTTTTACACCATAAATAATTTTACACCATAAATATTTTTACACCGTGTATATATAACAAATTATTTTTAATGTAAATATTAAGTGTAAGTGAAACAATAAGTACAGGACGGACTTTCATGGCAGTATATGCTAGAGGTGTGAATTACAAAGGCGTTTGATTACAAATTTTCAGTGTTTTTAAAAAGTCCTTGAATCTAGTGTCCATGAAAGAGTGACAACCCTGCATACAGTAGAAAAACTGCTTATTATATGGCCCTACCTTCAAATTCAAGTTTTATTTGTCACATACAGAGTCATGACACAGTATGATATGCAGTGAAATGCTTACAAAACCACTCATGACCTAAAAATAATAGCAACAATCGCATAATAATAATAATAATAATAATAATCTAAACTATGGTGAAAAATAAGTTGTGCAATAGAACATAAAACAAATATAAAATATTTAAAGACCCATATAGAGTATATGGCTGTATAAAAAAGGACAACGTTTAAAAAAAAAGCTATCTGCACAAACAGAAACATAGAAGGGGTATAAAAAGTGCCTGGTGAATAAAAGGAGTATACCCTGTCCCCTCCACCCCCCACCCCCACCCCCACCAAGTAAGCAGTTAAGAAAAGTTTATTTATAAAGCACATTTAACTTCAGTTTGGCTCTGACCAAAGTGCCGAACAATACCAAAACACACATTCTAAAACCATTAATTTACCATTAAAAATAAAATAACACTCACTCCTAAAGCCAAATTTTGAACATGAAAAGACCCTTTTTGATATGATTTAAGTGTTTTGAATAATGAGGACACAAGGCATGTCCTCATAAACCACTTTAATAGAGTACAACTAGTTCAAACCAATGTCATTATACAAATTTTCATCTTTATGAACCATCAAAACCAGTACAAACTCAGGATAAACGTGTTTGTTTGTTTGTTTGTCTCAGGTTGTTAGCGCAGCTTGATGAGACGGAGAATGCATTTGAACAATTCTGGTCAAGACATCACCTCAAGTTAGAGCAGTGCCTACAGTTACGACACTTTGAGCAGGACTTCAAAGAGGTACAGTTTGAGTCTCTGTGAAACTACCGTTGTGAATTTCTAGAAAAACAAACTGAAATTGTTCTGTTTTGTGCTTTGAATCAGGTGAAAGTGTCACTGGACGGCCTCTCTGAAGCTTTGCTGGGACTGTCAGATACCGGGGACTGCGTGGCTCGTGTGGAACAGCTATTAGGAGAACTGAAAACCTTGGAGGATAAAGCTCAGGTCAAAATCTTCTGAATCTAAAACCAGGCCTGATATGCAAAGCAGATTGTTGAGTTGAAGTGCTTCAGCCTGTTAAAGCAATCGCTGGTTTCACCACAAAGACAGGCAGGGGGAATTAATATATATGAAATACATCAAACATAACATTTTAATTGTTCATTTTGTGACATTTATGTGCCGTTTTGACAAGTTAATTTATTTGATAATAATAAAGACTTGAAAAGTAATAGCTGAAAATAAGCTATTTTTTTTATAATCAAAGGAATATATCAATTGTTCTTTAAAGTAATGCAATATTGCATCAACTGATAATAGTAGTATTTGTCTGTAATTTTAAAATATTTTATAAAGATATTAATACTACTAATTAGAGATGGCAAAAGTACACATTCTTTACTCAAGTAGAAGTACAGATACTTATGTTTAAAACAACTCTGCTAAAAGTTGAAGCACTGATTACACTTTAGTACTCAAGCAAAAGTAAAGAAGTACAGCCTCAAAAATGAACTTAAGTAAAAAGTACCTATTACTACTACATGTTTTAGTTTCACTAGGTATGTAATTATTCGGTTTCCCCCCATGTATCATCATCCTGATGCAAATTCACAGCATTCATCATGTACTTTTGCGGCTGTTGCATCAAAAACAACTGCTGCCGTTCATGTTCATACACAACCAAAAATACTTCTGTAGGCTTGTATGTCTTTATAAATAATGTCTTACATTTTACACTAAATTCAGTCCTAAATATATTGATTTTTTATTTACTTTATGTGTGAACAATTTTTTTTTTATTGAATATATTTAAAATATATTTTCTTTTGCTAAAATAAATACTTTAGGGATTTGACTGCAAACTATTTTATTTATTTTTTTTGCTTTAGCAAATCTCATACATAATAAAATTATTTTTTTTTGTGTTATTTTTCAGGGTATTGTGGATATTTCATTTAACAGATAAACATTAATTCTGTTAATACATTTAATCTATGCTTAAAGCTACATACACAGGCATGACTACAACCTATAGTACAAAACATGTGCATGATCTTTGATTCAAGTAATGAATTAAGGATCCTTTGCATTATATTTTTATGTTTGAATGTCTAGTATAGTTACTTTTGTTGTTGTAAAACATTTGTTAAAAAAAATTGAAGATTAATATACCTATAAGTAAAATCAAATAAAATAAAAAAATGTAAAAAAAAAAAACAAACAAACTGTTAAGCAACATAAATTTTGTATTCGGAAATATGAACTCATCGGAAACAAAAGAAATAAATCTCAGTGCATAAAGTTTTAACAAAGTATTTGATAGTTTTAGTGTTAAATGTACAAATCTTTACTTTTTTGCGGCATTAGATTGAAAGACCAGAGAAATCCTGTGCAAGTATGATTATAAGTAGACAAAAGACATTTTTATAGCATATTTTTGAACTGGAATGGGTCTCTCTTGTTTACCTGTGATCTGACCGAGCAAAATGTGTCTCATTACCATGTAAACAGGGCAGCTTTATGTTAAATTTGTCATCTCCCTCTGTCTTATCTGCGTAATCATCCTTGCCTTTCTCATTGTTATCTTCATAAACAAGCCTGCATCGCATGATAGCCTTGTTTGAAAAAAAGCCGCACACTGCAGCACACAGGCAGGCAATGACGAAAGTAGACTGACAGCATCAAAAAGGCGCTCAAATTGCACAAAAACAAGAAATAATATACATCGCGCCACCAAACACATGAAAATGAAAGCAACGCCTGTCGTTTTAAAATGTAATGAGGATAAAATACAAATATTTATGTAAAAAATGTAAGAAGTAAAAGTAAACAGGTTCAACAAAAATAAATAAATATAGAATTACTGATACCAGAAAATTCTACTTAAATAGATTATTTGCACTTTGTTACTTCCCGTCTTTGCTATTAAAACCAATGCTTAATTTATCTGACAATAATAACTTGAAAATATTACCTGACAATAAGCTCATAATTCATTTTTATAATCACAGAAATGTATTAATTTCATACAAAAAAAATAATAAACAGTTTTTTTAAAAATAGCATAATACTCTTACATCTCACATTACAGTTTTTCTGTGTTTTTAATGCAGCCTTACACATGCAGCCTGACTAACACTAACAGTATATACACATTTTCATAATCTTCCACTGTATTTGCATGTATATATTTCCCATCCAAAAATATAGCCAGACAAACAGGAACCATTTCTCTGTTTAACAAAGGACATTGTTCTTTTGCTTAGCATGTTTAATTCAGCCTGATATGCAAACTGACTTACAGTGCATCAGAGAAAAGAAATGTTCTGGTTTTACAAGGAATGCAAACACAAATGTATCTTGCTGAAAAGACCTGCATTACTTGTTACCAGTACATTCGGTCTGTAACATGGAATGTTTGTACGTGCTGTGGTGTCTGCTTCAAGAATTTTAGTTAGCTTAACTCCACTAAATCAACCAGCTTATCTAGAAAGACATCTGGACCTTTTCTTGGCCTTTATCATGCGTCAAACACACGCAGTATAGCTTAAGCTGAGCGTCAAGAACAGACAAAATACACTTATATAGTGCGGTTACTGTGTACGTTTTACATGGAAATCAGTCATTTCATTATTTACTCTGAATAAAAGAATATTATAAAAGTGTTTACATAAATTTCTTTTAGAATATAGCTCTCATGTACCTGTTTTACATAATTGTTTTTAATTCATAAAGACTTTAAGTGTAGTTAATATATTGTCATGCTATGTGAGAAAACATTTTTCATCCGGTGTATGATGTGCGTCAAGTGTTGTGATGTTATCTCAACGTGCGTTTAAAGCCTGCTCGGCATGGCCACATGAGTTGTATCAGTCGCTTGACTTTTATATATTGTATTTGTATATATGCTTCTGTCGTCATAAGCATAGCCTTCTCTTTGTCTCGATCATTCTATCTCTCTATCTGAGACATGCAGACACACAAGCACACGTGCACACACTCATAAGCGTGCAGACTCTGCATCTCTCTGTCAACGGGTTCACATAGCTGTCAAACTACACGGGTGACTAAACGTTTATATTTAAGCACATGGTGTAATTTTAAAATATAATACAGCTGGTGTTAGGGGTAAATCTTAGTTTTTTTTTGTGTTTTATCTTAGTATTTACATTATATCTAGCAGTGATCAATGCAAGGTCATAGGATAAAGAAAAAAAATGCCGCAAAATGTGCAAAAAGTCACCACAAAATTTATAATTTCTGTTAATAATCCGACTTTTTTTGTAAAATCTTGGAGGGACACCAAAAGGCACACTGATAATAATTAAAAAAATCCATATATTAATTAAATTTGTGTTAATTGTGAGCATAACATTACACAATACTCAAGTAAGAGTAATTTTATTATGGAAATCTGTTTACATGATAATTTCTTAATCCGCGTTTTGTCTTATTTACATTATATCTAGCAGTGATCAATGCAAGGTCATAGGATAAAGAAAAAAAATGCCGCAAAATGTGCAAAAAGTCACCACAAAATTTATAATTTCTGTTAATAATCCGACTTTTTTTGTAAAATCTTGGAGGGACACCAAAAGGCACACTGATAATAATTAAAAAAATCCATATATTAATTAAATTTGTGTTAATTGTGAGCATAACATTACACAATACTCAAGTAAGAGTAATTTTATTATGGAAATCTGTTTACATGATAATTTCTTAATCCGCGTTTTGTCTTATTTACATTATATCTAGCAGTGATCAATGCAAGGTCATAGGATAAAGAAAAAAAATGCCGCAAAATGTGCAAAAAGTCACCACAAAATGAATAATTTCTGTTAATAATCCAACTTTTTTTGTAAAATCTTGGAGGGACAGCAAAAGGCATACTAATAATAATTTAAAAAATCCATATATTAATTAAATTTGTGTTAATTGTGAGCATAACATTACACAATACTTAAGTAAGAGTAATTTTATTATGGAAATCTGTTTACATGATAATTTCTTAATCCGCGTTTTGTCTTAAAGGGGCAAAAATCACTTTTACCAGGGGTTTAAACACAGTTGCGTGGCAACAGTGTGTGAATATATCCAGCCTCTAATCATAAAAAATAATTCACTCTATTTTTTTATAAGCACACTGGTCACACTTTACAATATAGTTCATTAGTAAATGTTAAGTAATGCATTTACTAACATGAACAAACAATGAACAATACATCTACTACTGTATTTATTCATGTTAATAAACATTAGTTAATGAAAATACAGTAGTTCATTGTTAGTTCATGTTAACCCATAAGGGCATTAACTAATGTTAACAAGCATGGACTTGGATGTTAATAATGCATTAGTAAATGTTCAATTATGATTAATAAATGCTGTACAAGTGTTGTTCATGATTAGTTCATGTTAGTAAATGCATTAACTAATGAACCTTATTGTCAAGTGTTACCAGCACACTTTATAAAAACAGTCTGCAGAAATTTCTTGATTGACATTCTCTTTTTGTACAGTGAAACTGGAACAATTTGGATCAAAGCCTAAAATGTATGGTATTTTAAGCTGAAACTTCACATACACACTCTTGGGACATGAGAGACTCATTTTACATCTTTTAAAGAAGGGTATAAAAGGTCCCATTTAGTCATGTTTATCAGAATATTGTTGTCTATGTAAACAAACTGTGTCTGAGTGTTATGACTTTTCAAGTGCTAATAATAATAATCAAGTTTTAGTGTAAATCCTAATGTGCTTACTGATGTGTACAGGAGTGTTTGGAGAAAGCTCAGCTTCAAGCTCAGCATGGGGATCAGCTCATTCAGAGTAATCACTACGCCATCGACTCCATCCGCCCCAAGTGTGTGGAACTGCGTCGGATCTGTGACGACTTCAGCAACGAGGCCAAAAAGAAGCGTGACGTTCTGACCAAATCACTTGAAATCCTCAAACGAATTGACGAGGTTTGTTGAACTATTGAAATGATGACAATTAACTTATGTTGAGTTTTTGATTGCTGGTGATGGGGGTGATTGTTTTAGAACATGACAGATGAGGAGTTTTGAATGACGACATTCAGCATCTCAAAAGACAAATACATATTAAAAATGGTTGAAATTATGTTAATTGTTTATGGATAAAATATTTATACATAATCTTTAAATTTCTTAATTTATTTGTTTAACTGATAAAACACTTTTTTATGTGTACAGTGCTCAGCAAAATTAGGTACACCCCAATTTTGAAAATAAATATCTTTATCCATTAGGCAGTGAATATAGGCAATGTATTTTGGTGCATTTAAACAAAACAGATTTATTAAACAGATATATTTATTAAAGTAATATTTTAGTCACTAAACATATTTTGAAATTTAAAGATTCAAGCAAAATATTGCAAAGATAATTACAACCTACATATTTCAACTGTTTTTTTTTTCTTTTTTTTTGCTTTTCTTGATTTTTCTTTTAAAAGTTTGTGTTTAATATTTTTTTTTATAGAATATAAAAATCTAGCATATAAAAAGCTCTAAATCTGGTTTCAGTTCTGATTTATCTAATGTGTGTGCACAAATATATTATTGTATAGCTTCCTATTAAAAAATATAAATTGAAAAAAGAAGATATATTTCTGAATGGTGTACTTATATATACTGTGCACGATATAAATAAATAAATAAGTTATATAAATATTGCACAACAAAACAAACAAAATAAATAAATAAATAAATAAATAAATAAATAAATAAAATTAGCATTAAATTTAATCACAATAAATTACTACGTAGATTTTTTATATATAGATAAATACTGTATATATATATATATATATATATATATATATATATATATATATATATATATATATATATATATATATATATATATATGTATATATATATATATATATATATATATATACTGAGTAATTTAATATTTTTTTTATTTAAAGGTTTTTTTTTTTTTGTTTGTTTATTTTGTTGTTTGCCTAAACTGACAATTTAAAAAAGATATATCTTTAGCTATATATCTATATGTCTATAACTACAGTGTGTATTTATTTCAAGTCAATTTATTATTACAGTGTTCTTTTAATCACATCACTATCTAATTTTTTCAGTCGGATCTCATGAGGAAACGTAACTATTTTGCATTTTGTCAGTTTTGTGGTTAATTCGTACAAATTCGAGTTTTGTTGTACGAAGCTGTACGATTTTAAAAATGAGTCTTGGCACCCAACCCCTCTAAACCAATTGTTGGTAGATAAGCAAATCGTACTAAATTGTATGAATGAGAAAACAAACATATTAGCCACTATATCAAAAAGTAATCGTTTGTTTACAAAAGCACCTTTTCTTGTATTAATTTTAGCTAAATATTTTATTAAGTTATTTTCTGTGTCTATATTTATATTTTAATTTTTTATATTTAATTAGTTTTAGCTTTATTTCAGTTAATTTTTCTTTCTGTGAACTGTAACAGCACTGTTTGTGAGTGAATTAAAATAACTAAATAAATAAATAAATAAATAAATAAAATAATAATAATAATAATAATAATATTTCCCAGTGATGGGTTGCGGCTGGAAGGGCATTTACTGCATAAAAACATGCTGGATAAGTTGGCGGTTCATTCCGCTGTGGTGACCCCAGATTAATTAAGGACTAAGCCGAAAAGAAAATTAATAATAATAATAATAATAATAATAATAATATTTCACTAATTTGTTTTGATGTTTAGTAGATTGAGTATTAAAAAACCTGTGCACTCATTTTTTATTTTTATTTTTTGCTTTAAACTGGGTCAACGCCAAAGAGATGCATTTATGTGTCTCTGTGGTTTGTGTGTTGGCAGGTGAACCAGTGGTGTGAAAGCGGAGTGTATCTGCTGGCCTCTCAGGCTGTAGACAGATGTCAAACACAGGAAGGTGCAGAAGCAGCACTGCAGGACATCGAGAGGTACATGAAAACAGCCAAAGAGCAGCAGCTCAGTCACCTCAAAGAACTCAACAACCAGTATGAGGTCGTCCTCTCAGAGCTGCTCAAGGTACACGCTGATTACCGTTAAATGCATTTCTATACAGTGAGATCCAAAAGTGTTTTTATTTATTTAAATACTCAGACTCGGACAGACTCAGACTCAACTTTATTTTCCTGTTTAGGGTAACTAAAATTGCAGCAAAGGGCTGTAACACAGGCGAATTTCCATGTACACATTTACAAAATAATACCACACAACATAAAACACATAATTCTTTAGGTACATCTGCCTCTTCGCTGGACTCATTTAATGACCTAATAGCCACCATTATAAAATAATTTCTAATTCTATTTGTCCTTGTTACGTAATCTAACTTTGCATGGCTCCACACAGCCAGCCAGACCTGTTACAATAAATAATATTAAATTAAAATAATTAGGACACCTCTAATTTAATGAGGAGGCCAGAGTCTCATCTCCTGTTCAAAAGGAAAAACACAACAAAGACGATTGACTAAAGATATAACACAAAGTCAAATTTATTTGACGTTTACTGTAACTTCAAAGGAGACAATAAAAAGCTTGCGGAGGTAAATGCCAAAATAACAAATAACAAACAAAAACTCAACAACTAAGTTATTAACCCTCTTACCTGCACATGAAATGAAACAAATAAAATAACATTCACTTACCTACCTACTAACCACAAAACTTGAGAGAATGCTATAAAACAAAAAGGCACCCCCTTCTCAGCACACTTGTCTCTGTATAGATCTTAATGTCAACACTCAGCGTTCACTTTCAGCAATTTTGCCAAATAAATACAACACAGTTTTTACTTCACAAAATAAACAACCCAAGCCGGAAGAGAGGAGACTTTCTGAACGACGTTCCAGTGCGGTTTAAATTGTCTTTAAGCCGGCAAGCCTCCACGTGTTAACAAATGATTTACAGCACCTGTGCAGTGAAAATGAAACCTGTCGGAGAGACAGAGGCGGAAAGAAGTCAACCACAACAGAGGGATATGCAACACAAAGAAAAAACTTGCACAGGTTTTTTTGTATTATTGTTTAATAAATTAAGAAAATAGCGACGCAGTGGCGCAGTAGGTAGTAATGTAGCCTCACAGCAAGAAGGTCGCTAGTTCGAGCCTTGGCTGGGTCAGTTGGCGTTTCTGTGTGGAGTTTGCATGTTCTCCCTGCGTTCACGTGGTTTCCTCCGGGTGCTCCGGTTTCCCTCACAGTCCAAAGACATGTGGTACATGTTAATTGGGTAAGCTAAATTGTCCGTAGTGTATGAGTGTGAATGAGTGTGTATGGATGTTTCCAAGAGATGGGTTGCGGCTGGAAGGGTATCCACTGCGTAAAAACGTGCTGGATAAGTTGGCGGTTCATTCCCCTTGTCGCGACCTCAGATTAATAAAGGGACTAAGCCAAAAAGAAAATGAATGAAATTAAGGAAATACATAACAGTCCTGCAAATAGGATCTCTAAAACCACGTCCTGATTGCAGCAGTTGAAACAAAGAGTAGTATGGGTGATCACGGGTGCAAAGGAAACCTCGAGCTCTTTTTAAAAACATAATTATGGTAATTTACCTTAGACAAGCTTGGTTAAAACCGATAATCTTGCCTGTCACCCTTACAACACTACTTTGTTATTTGACTAACTCAGATTACCTTACCAAGATACTTTTTATAGACAGCCTGGGTGTTAGGTTGAAATGTCAACATATCGTCAATAGTCATATATTATACTGACATTTGTAGTCAGATGCAATGTAAATGTCATTGATTCGTGGAATGTAGAAGGAGGTAAACCAAATAAATACATACATTGGATGCAAAGAAATTAGCTTAAAGTAGGTTTTGTTTACATTTCTTATTAAAAGTTGGGCAGGTGCCATGTGGTTGTCTTTAATTGTCTTTAAGCCGGCAGCCTCCACTTGTTAACAAATGATTTACAGCACCTGTGCAGTGGTAATAAAACCTGTCGGAGAGACAGAGGCGGAGAGAAGAGAACCACAACAGAGGGATATGCAACACAAAGAAAAAACTTGCACACATTTTTTTGTATTATTGTTTAATAAATTAAGGAAATAGCGACTCAGTGGCGCAGTAGGTAGTGCTGTCGTCTTACAGCAAGAATGTATGAGGGCTAAACCAAATAAATACATACATTGAATGCAAAGAAATTAACTTACAGTAGGTTTTGTTTACATCTCTTATTAAAAGTTGGGCAGGTGCCATGTGGGGTATGACCCCCCTCAGATTGTTAAAATTGTGTTTATTAATACATTGTGCTATTTAGAAAATACCTGTACATTTATCAATTATTTTGTAAATAGTAAGGTGAAATATATGAATAGGTGCTTAAACCTTATCCCCCACCTCACTGCACTCATGTGTTAAAGAAGGTCAGGATTAAATATTGTTCTCATTTTTAGAAAAGCGTATTTTAAGCAGTCCATTTATTTACGTTTGTGAATTGCATTATGGGACCCTGGTCTCTGTCAGCATTTGATGTAGAAAATGCAACTCCAACTACAGTTTAACAAAGTGACATTTATTGACATTTAAGTTGTTTGAAATCATATAATGCGTAAGAAACAATATATAAATGAATAAGTCAAATAACAGAACATGTACTGGCTGTTTATTACAAGGTTTTTGTATTTGTAACACCAACTGAGAGAATATATCACTTTAAACTAGATAGTAGTCAGGATTACAGTAGGTGTTATGCAGGATTAGTGATGTAAAATAAGATCATGCATAAGTACTAATAAACAGCCAATAACATAATAGTAGGGAAATAAAAAGCCACTGGTTAATTGTGAGAACTATTACTTACACTAATGTGCTTCCAAAATAATATATTACAATCTAAAGTAACTTTTAAAAATTAGCTAAATGTGTAGCTTAGCTACCTTTTAATGAAAGTAGGCCATTTTTGCAATTTTTTAAATAATAAGGTAGGCTTAAAATTGTAATGCTGTATATAACTCACTAAATATTAGACTCTGACTCAGACAATGTTGTTAGGTTGTTGTTTTTATTTATTTTAATATATTTTTTAAATGTGCAACTCAATTTTTTTTTCTTATTATATTGATATATTAAGATTCCTCAGAGCTCTTTCATCTGTATGTTGTGTGCTAGATATGATTTATGTTAATAGAGATTTGTTTTATGGCATGTTAAAAGTTAAGGATTGTACCATAATTTAGCCGAGAGTACTATATGCACTCATATTCATACCCTAATTAAAGAGAAAGTTAACCCCAACATGAACTTTCACTCACCATTTACTCACACTCAGTTGGATCTTAAGTGACAAAAAGAAACAAAAGAAACAACAAAAAAAAACACCCAATGGAAATCAATGACCACTTTCTTCAGTATCTTGATTGTTTTGTGTTCGCCTGAAGATAGAAACTCAAACTTTTAAGATGCTTTTTTTGTGTGAATCTGATCCTGAGCGGACAACACTGAATAGTCTTAAGTGAGAAAACTAATTTGACTACTTGAAGCACACCAGTCAGACTAGATTTAAACATTTAAAGCAAAATAAAGAAAACAAAAACAGATACATACAAAGTTCTCTTATCATGCATTGTTCAGACACAAACCTAAGATGTTCAGCATAGCTTTGTCCTTATCAGAGCAGAAACTGCTGCAGTCTGCATTGATTTCCGATTGTCTCGTTTTACGTTTATATGCAAGATATGAAAGATAACACTATAAGATTAGAAAAAGCCAATACAAACACCCGCCCGTAGACCTTCCCTATAATTTGCATAATTAGCCGCCCAGAATACAAACACAAAGAAACGAAGGTGAGGCTTCAATGTTTTGCGGTTTGATCACAATGCTGTGGAGACACCAAAGAAATCTAAAAATGCCTTCCTTCTAGCATTCAAGATTTCAGCATATAAATTATATAGTAAAATAATAAAAAACAGCTAATTATAACCTTTTGTTATCCTTTACAGGAAAAAAAACAAATGTTGCTGCCTTAAAATTTCAGCTTGAATCAAATGAACTTTACAAGTAATTTCAACTTGCATGAATTAAACTTATAGTAAAATAACTTAAAAATAAAGTTAGAGCCTGATTAAGCTTTTCAAATAATTAAATGAACATAAAAACAAATGTTTGTCAGGACTTTTTAATCATATATTTTCATAGTGCTGTAGCTACACTCAAAAATGTATATGTTTTTATTTTAACTTATTTAAAATGAGCTGAAACAGCACAGATTTTTTCAGAAACATTATTGTTTTATGTTCAATCCACTTAAATTAGTTAGGTTAACTTGATGGATTGTTAGGACAACATGAATGAATTGTCTGGAACCCTGCATTTTTAACAGTGCAGCATAAAAAAAATAATAGTGTCACATTTGTGTGTCGTCATCAAATTTTACCTGATGCTTCTATTTATGAGTTATATCTTTGAAACCTAAACTTCAACTTGTATTTTAAATATATGAATTGGATTTACATATTTAAATTAGAAATTCGATCTGACCACTGAGCGTTAGAGTTGGCCTTGTGTGTCAGAAAAGCAAGTGATTAAACTATACCTGTCAAGATTGGGATGTAAAAATACAGGATACGCCCCCAACAACCGTTACAAATATAGGGAGGAAGTTAGCTTTAAATGATAGAATACATAACAAACATTAGAGCATTGAAAATAAAATAAAAAGTTTAGCTTATTAAAATCAATTTACTGATCATATTGGTTATTGTATGCTTTAAAGGGTTAAAAGTGTTCATTTTTTACTTTAATCATTTAGTGATTACTCCGTGTACCACTAGAAGGAAGCCTGCATACCACTAGTGCTACACGTACCACAGTTTGTGAACCACTGATATAATATAATATGATATAATATAATAGGGGCGACGCAGTGGCACAATAGGTAGTGCTGTCGCCTCACAGCAAGAAGGTTGCTGATTTAAACCTCAGCTGGGTCAGTTGGCATTTCTGTGTGGAGTTTGCATGTTCTCCCTGCGTTCGTGTGGGTTTCCTCTAGGTGCTCAGGTTTCCCCCACAGTCCAAAGACATGAGGTAGAGGCGAATTGGGTAGGCTAAATTGGCCGTATTTCAGAGTGTGAATGAGTGTGTATGGATGTTTTCCAAAGATGGGTTGCAGCTGAAAGGGTATCCGCTGTGTAAAAAACATGTGCTTGATAAGTTTTTGGTACATTCTGCTGTGGCGACCCCAAATTAATAAAGGGACTAAGCCATAAAGAAAATGAATGAATAATATAATATAATAAATATAATATAATAAATATAATATAGTAAAATAAAATAAATAAAATAAAATAAAATAAAATAAAATATAATGTAATATAATATAATATAATATAAAACAATACAATATAATATAATATACTTAGTAAAGATTAGTCACATCATAATAAATGTTTTGACATAACGTGTGTGTACAGTGTATATTTATTTAAAATGTCAAATAAATGTTTTTATAAACTAAAAAAATAAAATAAAAGCCTGACAGTGCTGTAGCTACATTATTATTTTTACTTTTTTTGTCAAATGACTAATTTAAAATGAGCTGAAACAGCACCGCTCTGGAGATTTTTTTCAGAAACGTTTTCGTTTTGTGTTCCATCTACTTAAATGAGTTATTTTAACTTGATGGATTTGTGTTAGGACAGCATGAATGAATTGTCTGGAACCCTGCATTTTTAATAGTGTAGCATAAAAAACAGTGTGTGTCATTTAAACATAACATGTGGACATGATGTCAGTTTAACCCACTATTTGTTCTGTTTCCAATTCTCAAAAACAACATTTATGCATCAGAGGCTTTAAAACACTGCACGTTTTTTTTTTGAGCTACTATCACAAAGCACTTCCAATTGAAGTACACAAATTCAAATTTGTGCATAGATAAAAAGGCACAATGTTTAACGTCTTGCAGTAGGGATACTATTTTAATATATGCTCCTAATACACTTACAAAAAATTGTGCTTAATTCTTCCGTCAAACTGAAAAGAAAGGGATATGATTTATATATAATGCAATACAGCAAGAAGGTCGCTGGTTCGAGCCTCGGCTGGGTCAGTTAGCATTTCTGTGTGGAGTTTGCATGTTCTCCCTGCGTTCGCGTGAGTTTCCCCCAAAGTCCAAAGACATGTGGTACTGCTGAATTGGGTAAGCTAAATTGTCCGTAGTGTATGAGTGTGTGTGGCAACCCTGGATTAATAAAGGGACTAAGCCGCAAAGAAAATGAATGAATGAAATTATTGCAATGAAAAATGTAGATTTTACTGTATGCTAGCTTATATTGCTAGCTTTTATTGCTGTTATGCATGTGATGCGTTGTAATCCACATGTGCCACTTTATAAAGAACTGTGAAACCATGCAAGTTTTTTTTTTGTTTTTAAGCACTTTTTATATTTTTATTCCTTGTCATGCGCTTAAAACTACGTGCCTCAATCATTTATGATTGACAATCAAAGTGTGGATATTATGCAAGTGTAAGATTCCTTTCTCGCCTTCAGTGTTAATAATGAGTTTTTTTGTGAAAGAAAATCGTGCAAGAATGTTGTGTCTCTGCAATCAATACTTCTTTTCGACACGATGACGACAGCAGTAACTAGTGTTTCAGGATCAAAGTAGACATTGTTCACAGGCAGCCACTGAAAAGAATAAACTGCCACTATGCAAATGTGTTACGGATCTAAGTAAATCAGTTATGCAAATGAAACTGGAATTTCTGAGGACTGGTTTTATTGGTTCAGAATCTTTTTTGACCTTTTTGTGAGACAAATACTTTGTTTGTCATACCTGTTGAGCTTTAGAAATTTGTAAATCGTTTACATTCAGAAGCATAAAGAGTAATTTAAAACCATAACTCTTTAATATTTCCTGTAAGGTGTATGGTATATATGTATTTACTAAATAATACGTATGTACTTTAAAATAATGGTCCATTAGGTGATGTTAGTTAATATATTTACTAACATGAACAAGCTATTAGTAATACATTTGTTATGGTATTCATTCATCTTTGTTATTGTTAGTTCATGTTATTTAAGTTAATGTTAGTTCATGTTAGTTCAATTTAACTCAAGGTGCATTAACTAATATTAACAAGCACAACTTTAGATTTCAATAATACATTAGTTAATATTGAACTATGAATAATTAATGCTTTTTAAGATTATTAATTATTAGTTAATGTTAGTAAATAGGTCAACTAATGGACCATTATTCTAAGGTGTTACCAAGTGTACTTTTGCAGTGTTTTTGTTGTAAATAAGTGAGTGAATAAGAACGAGAGTAAAATCCCATTAAAGCACCAATAAGAGAGGAAAGTTTAGCAAATGATCTACTGACGGTGTGGCATTTTAACAATACAAAGAAGTGAAAATTAGGTCAAAAATAAGCCGAGCAAATGATGATTCAGTATAAAAGTCATACTAAACAATAGAACAAATAATAGTAAACTGATGACTGCAAATCACATTGCATTATTCATTTTAACACTCTCCTCCCATGAATTCATATGCAATAAGGTTTGTGTAAACAAAGCTATTTGTATGTAATAGGATATGTAATAAATTCAGCTGCAAGCAAACCATTTATATATATATATATATATATATATATATATATATATATATATATATATATATATATATATATATATATATATACTCCTTTTCAGGCTTGGAGTTTCAAGCATTAGACCGGCCCACCGCAGTTCACGTCCGACTATATAAAAATAAGGTCATTTCCAATTCAGTTTCTAATTACAATATCACGTCTTTTTCAAGAAAACAGCTGCTATAGAACTTCAAATGTTCAACAACCTTACAGTTTTATATGTCTTAACAATAAAAATGGAAAAAAAAAAATCACAATAATTACTCAGGTGAGGATCGAACACGAATTGACAACATCGTAACGCAACATGCTGACCACTGGACCACAATGGCGCTGTTATGCATATCTGGCCGGAATGATAGTTACATCATCATTACCCTGAAGGCTGCATTTTGCTCATGGGGCTGCGAGACAATAAATAAGAAGAGCGGAGCTGCGGCAAATTAATTAATAAATGAAAAAAAGTGCGACTGCTGAGAGTGCAAGCAGTTAGAAACACCGGCCCTCGCAGCCAAAAAACGGACCGGCCCACCGGGAACTCTCCCGGTCCTCCCGATTGGCCAACCCGGGCCTGATTTTATATATATATATATATATATATATATATATATATATATATATATATATATATATATATAATATTACTGTTATTATATTATTATTATTATTATATTACTGTGTAAATTCTAATAGTAGTTTATTAAAAGGATAACTTACCCAAAACTAAAAATTGACCCACTATTTACCCATCCTGAAATGTTTTCAAACCTTTTATTATCATTTTTCTGTTAAACACATAAGAAGATATTTTTAAAAACCTTAGAAACCGGTAATAATTGACTTTCATCGTTGGAAAAACAAATACTATGGAAGTCAGTTGTTACTTTCCAGCATTTATCAAAATATCTTCTTTTGTGTTTAAGAGAAAAATAAAAATAAACTTCAACAGGTTTGTAAGAAGCAAAGGGTGAGTAAATGATGACAGATTTTTTAGTTTTGTGTGAACTATCCCTTTAATGCTAGTAAAAGGTTTGTGTTGGCACAAGCTATTATTAAATCTGGCTGGCATTTAAAGATTTTAAATTCGGTATCAGACTTTTGGAGCTCGCTGTAGCTATACATTTACCACTCTTCTGCTGCTGACGATAGACACATTTACATTTTATGAAGTGAAATAATCTTTTATTTCCTCCCACGCAGAGCAAAGTTCAAACTGCCTTGAAAACGCTGAACGATGTCCAAGAGATGTTTGAGAAAAGACATGCAAGTCTGAAAAAGCTTTCCACGAAGCAAACAAGGCCTGTGCAACCTGTTGCACCCCGACCAGAATCTTCACCAAAACGCCCCTCACCTAAAATCCCACATCCCACTCCTCCAAGTGAGTTTAAATGAAAACAAGTTCTATGTTAAAAGAATTTGATGTCTGTCAAGACCACACGCGGGTTTTGTACAGTATCTACTAAGATCTATCAGATCACAAGTGGGTTGATAATGTAAAACAAATTCTATGTTAAACCCTACAGCATCACACCGCAAAACTACAGATAACTCCAGCACCAATAGACAGCCCAGTGATGCAGAACTGGCAAAAAGAAAAAACATTCGCAAAGCCAAAGGTGGCATTAAGGTACGTCAGTCTTTTTCAGCTGCAGTCATATCTGAAAAAAAAAAACAAAAGTTAAAAAGGGCATTTGCATATCTAAAAACCCTTGCCTTAATCATCAACAAACAATTCTGGATTTTTTGTGATTTCTTGCAGATTGAGGTCATGCATGAAGGAGGTCAAGGAGGTTCAAGTCATATTTTAATGAACAATGAAACTGAAGAGTCGCTTTCAAACAGACGCAGGTACGAACATGTTTCCTGAGTTCTAGAGCTTGTTGTACATAACAGATTTACTGAGGAAATCACAAGGGATTAATATAATATAATATAATATAATATAATATAATATAATATAATATAATATAATATAATATAATATAATATAATATAATATAATAAAATATAATAAAATGAAATATAATATAATATAATAAAATATAATATAATATAATAAAATGAAATATAATATAATATAATATAATATAATATAATATAATATAATATAATATAATATAATATAATATATTAAAATATAATATAATATAATATAATATAATTTAATATAATATAATATAATATAATATAATATAATGTAATATAATATAATATAATATAATATAATATAATATAATGTAATATAATATAATATAATATAATATAATATAATATAATATAATATAATATAATATAATATAATATAATATAATAATAAAAAATGTCTCTTCAAGTACACCATGATGACCGGTATTGAAATACAGTAGTGTAGTAGGCCTCATTAAACAGCTACAGTTCTGCACAGTTAAAAATGTGGCAGATTAATTCTTATTATTATAAAAATCTTCATTGTCAGACACTTTTACCATTATAAATAGTTTAAGCATTAACACTGCACTGTGCTTTCAGAAAAAAAATAAATAAATAATAAAACGTCAATGTTTAAATTAAAATGTGCTTTTAAAAGTTAATTAAAAATGACACTGTTCGTTAAAAGAAAACTGCTGTACCTAAATGTAAAGTATTTTCATAAAGTAGCTTATTCATCAAAACCTAGAAGTGTTCCTTGGAGCTTATAAGTATAGGCTTTATGTCATCATATTGATATATAAACTCTTTTTGATAAATTTAGAAATATATGTTGCATCCGTTTATGAGTTATTTATATATCTTTGAAATCTAAACCTTATCTTGTATTTCAAATATATGAAATGGATTTACATATAAATTAGAAATTGGATCTGACCACTGAGTGTAGAGTTGCCTTTATGTGTCAGAAAAGCAAGTGAATAAACTATACCTGTCAACATTGGGATGTAAAAATACGGGCCACGCCCCCAACAACCGTTACAAATATATGGAGGAAGTTAGTTTCGAATGATAGAATACATAACAAACATTAGAGCATTGAAAATAAAATAAAAAGTTTAGCTTATTAAAATCAATTTACGGATCATATTGGTGTTATCATACTTGTTAAAGGGTTAAAAGTGTTCACTGTTTTTACTTTATTTATTCAGCTATTCCTCCACAACTGGCCACAGTCTGAGAACCACTGATATAATATAATATAATATAATATAATATAATATAATATAATATAATATAATATAATATAATATAATATAATAGTCAATCATTTAATATATTTTTGTAATATAATTTATTCCTGTTGAATTTTCATCATTATTATCCCAGTCTTCACTGTTGCATAAGTATTTCTTCCTGTTTTTCTTCTTCTTCTTCTTCTTCTTTTTCTTTTTTATTATTATTATTATTATACATTTTTGTAACATTACACATCTTTAATCTCACTTCTGAACAATGTAATGCATCCTTTCTAAATAAAAAGTATTTATTACTTCCCAACTGTTAATAACAATGATATTGTTTAGAGATATTAAGTAGCAGCATTAATATTTGTCTTTGCTTACCTTGCAGCATATTAAAATCATTATAATGACAAATCATGTGACAAAAAACATGTGTAAAAAACAGCAGCTGAAACTGTTTAGTCATTTTTCGAACAAACGCAACAACCCGTTTTAATTACATTCTCCGGTGACAAATGCATTTGCATAGACATTTGGAATTTTATTTGTCTCTAGCTAAACTCACAGTAATTGCGCTGAGTAACTCCAGGTTCGTACATGGTAATTACGCACATTTAATAATGCCCCACATTTTACATATTGCTGACAGCTTGTTGTAAAATAGCAACTCAACTGAAAATAATAACCAGTAAGAAATATTTGGAATAATATTCAAGTAATATTTACTTTGAATTGGGATTTAATTTCTTCTAACAACTCAAACCTTATTTTAATGACACTGTTGCCTTCTTGAGTAGTTAACATTCAAGGGCTCTTATAGTGCCCTTTTTAGAAGATAATATAAAAGGTCAAATAAATATTTTGTGTATCCAGAATGAATCTGTGTAGTTTTAGGTCAAAGTATCCATTTTATTTATTATTTACCCTGTTGAAAATGTCTATTTTTGGGTCAGAGGGAATTGTACCTGTTTTGCGTCTGTGAGCTAGTTCTCCCCACCCACACTTAGGACATTTAGCTTCAGAGAAGGACAACCAGTGTTGGATGTCAGGATAAACACAGCAGAATACAGACAGCGGCTGTATAAACACCGTCACGAATATTTCTAGTTGTTCTGGAGTTTATTCAACCTTCCTGCAACAATAAATGAGCCAAACACAAATGCTGTTACAATGTTTACTGTGCACACACATACTGTATACATGTCCTGGGATTTGGATCCTAGTTTAAGGGTGCTTTCACACCTACACTTTTGTTTAGGAACCTGTCTTGTTTGCCCAGTTAGCGCGGTTCGTTTGGCATATGTGAACAGGGCAATCGCGCTCTGTTCCGCGCCAAAGTAATCGCTCCGAGACTGCATGAGTGAGGTGGTCTTGGCTCGATTGAAACGAACCCTGGAGCGGTTCGATTGCAGTGAGAAAGCGATTCGATCCGAGCGAGGTTATATCACAGTGTTTTATGGATATGTAATAGGCATACGGCTATAAGAAGAGAGAATTATGAGTAGGGCGGGAAGTTTCGCGAGTCTCCGGATGCCCGCAAACGAGTGATGATCTCCCGGTAATCTCGCGTCTCCTTCCCGGTCCTCAAATAGGCATCGTCGCGCACCCTTCTCACCCCTCCCCACAGCCTCTCTCCTCAGACACGTCGCGCGTGCATGCACCTTGTCAATCACCACCAAACCACCACTTCTCCTGACAGTTTAGCGGGACGCTGCAAAATAAACCCTGACACTCTGACCAGTGTGAGGAGAGTTTACTCACACGTGACTTGTTTTAGCTCTTTTGGTCCGATTAGAAACTTTGCAGTGTGAAAGCAAACTGCTCTAAGAGCAAAGAGCAACAATGTAACATTTGTAATCTCTGTTTCGGAACAACTGAATCGATTCACAGGTGTGAAAGCACCCTAAGATCAGGACTTTTTTTTTAATTGTTGCATTTATATCCCTCAAATTTGAATGTGTACACACACTCAGTCAATTTGTTATACTTACACACATTTCTGTCCTAACAGCTTCCAAAAGTGTTGCATGATAGCATACCTTTAATATTAACTTATTTTGATATTAATGTTGACCCCTTTTCCTATGGCAAGGGAAGGGCCCTGGATTCTCATAAAATAGTTTTTAACCCCAAAAAGAAACCCATAACCTGATACCAATTAACGTAAATAATAAACACAATCAATCTGGTACAAAATTACCTTTCCAAATTTACTTAAATACAATTAAACAAACAAATATATACAAACAAAAGAAATAAAGGTTTGTTTCAAAATAATGCTTTTCGTTTCCCTTTTTTCAAACTCAGCAAAATCAACAGTTCATTTAGAAAAGCTCAAAAATAGTCAATATAAAATGAATCAAGAAATAAATAAACCCTGTTTCAGGCCTGTGTCAGTGCTTACGATCGTAGTGGCATAAAACACAGTTGCCCCTTTGTGAAAGGGCAGTTAAACAACAGTTTGCTCTTACCAGAGCCAAGGAACACTCTAGAACCAGAGCTATAGTGCGTGAAAAATTAGGAGAGAGTCAGCAGAGGACGTCGCATTCAGTGCTGCCAGAGGAGCCACTGAGATATCCTGGTTTCTCAGGGTGCTATCTGGGATGTCCAGGGTTATTGGCAATACTGATTTGCAGTCGTAGACCTGTGGATCTCCGCTTTAGTGGCTAACACCTCATTTAGTAAACACAGTGCAACAAATTGTCTGTTGATCCTCAAGGAGGAAATTGCTATACTCCTAGGATCATAGATGTTATAAGCCCTCTTCAGTTCTCTATTTGACAACTAGCCGAGCAAATAAAATACTACAGGTAAAACTTCTTATTTAAATATAAATACATAAATTCAAAAACAAAACATCCAGTATACAATACACAAATAATGAAAGAAATAAAAAAAATTATATCAAATAAATGAATTGACAACTGGGCTTTATTAATATTAAGATTCTGATTGAGTGGCAAATGATTATTTTCTTATTAAATGGCAGCAGCCAAATAAGTATACTGTGACTATGAAAGTAACAGAGGATGCTGGACAATGTAGATGTAGGATCGATGTGCAGTTTATATAAAGCTTAGATAGGCATAAGTCAGAACAGGAAAAAACAGGAGCATGAGGGTACTCGAAAAAACAACGTTAGAAACAGACTAATGGTCAGAACAGGCCGCAAAGAATCAACAAACAGTTAACCAGACAAAAATCAACAACATGGTAATACACAAACAGGGTAATACACCTTTAAATGTGTCACAGGAAAAACAAGACTCTGCAAATTGTGTGTGTGCAAGGTGCATGCTAGGAGTTGTAGTTTGTTACTGTGACGTGTGTGTAGCTCTCCAGTGATCCTCAACTGCCAGATCGCTGGTGATCACAACAATAACAATCAAATCACTACTGTAATAAATTAAGTTGTATTAACAAAATACTAGGCAACAGTGACTGACTACTACTAAATGGACCATAAATGAAGTGCATGCGATGAATGAAAGTGATTTAATTGTAAATTGTTATAAGTTGCTAGTTTTTTTTTAAGTAAAAACTTAAGATTAATTGCATGAACTTATTATAATTTAACAAATAACCAAAAATGTTTTTGTTTGTTTGTTAGTTTTTGTTGTTGTGAGCGGTTTAGTTGTTGTCTTGTTGTTTTTGTTTTTGTCAATCACAGATATCTAGTGTAAATTACAACATCAT